ATTTTCGAATGCCTTCAGGCCATGCCCTTCAATTGGCCTTGAGTTGCCTCTTTCGAATGGACTTCTTATGTATCCTTCGAATGGGCCTTTTGAATGCTTCTTCGAATGGACCTTTTGAATGCTTCTTCAAATGGACCTTTACATGTTCTTCAAACGGACCCTTTAAATGCTTCTTCGAACGGACTTTTACATATTCTTCGAATGAGTCATTTACATGTTCTTAGAATGAGCCTCTTGCCTGGTGTGCTGGCAAGTAGAGGGGCCATTGACTTTGTGAATCGAAACAAACTTGTAGGAGATTCTTGCCTCGTGAATCGAAGGCAGGCCTGAAGTAGTTAATGCATAGTCGAAGCATTGTGAAATTGACTTGATCAAAGGGGGTCCAACGCTCAATCGAAGACTTGTGGACCAAAGCTTGATCGAAGAGTTCCAAACACCTAATCGAAGCTTACTAATCAAAGCCCGATCGAAGAGTGCCAAATGCCCAATCGAAGACTGGTGAGTCAAGCCTGTATTGAAGGATTTTGGATACCCAATCGAAGACTTTGCCCAGATGCCAATCAAAATACACTTTGTTCATCTTCAAAAAACTTTATTTTCTTTAGGCAAATGTTTGTGACCAACCATGTAAGGGAAGACCTTGGAAAACATGAGAGGGAAAATTTGGGGTACAACAGTAGTGCTATATTTGACACATAAATGTCCCTTATTTGAGTTATCTTAAAGCATGTAGTCACGTTTTTGGTGATGTATCCAAGAATATTATCGATTGGATAGCCCTTCGAAGTCTTCCAAGCTAAGGGAAGATCATCCATTTCAGTTGGACTTTCATTCTTATCCATTTTAAAATCATCTTCCTCCTCCTCCCCAGGTTTCACCGTTTCAGGCTGATCAGCTCCTTCTTCAATGTCTTTGGGTATGTCTTCTAAAGATACACTTGCATCATGAAAACAGATACCTTTCCCGACATTTCTAGGATAGGATTCATTAAAAGTGACATGCACAGACTCTTCAACAATATGTAACCATAGAGATAATAGTAGAAGAGGGATTACCTACACTACATTTACCTATTATAACTCCCTTATTATTGTCACCATAGATCACATACCCCTGCTTCTTTGCCACAAGGTCAATGAATAAGGAAATGTCATCTGCCATATATCTTGAGCATCCACTATCGAGAACCCACATTCTCTTCATGGAGCCAAGACATTCAACCTACAAAATCAATAAAGAGTTCTAGGTGTCCAATTCTCATTGGGTCCTTGAGATTAATTAGAAATTATGTCACACTTAAGCAACCATTGAAAAATATCTTTAGGAACAATAAATCGCCTAAATTTAGATTTTACAATGGAATAACCTTTCTTGCAAGTATAGTGACAAGTCAAATGATGATGAGAGTGACTTTTTCTATTTGATTATTTTTCAACAAAATTATACTTTTTGTAAGGTACGTTTAAAGATCTTTTAAATTTTGTCGAATTAATAGCATAAGTGACTTTTAGTTCTAAAGCCTTGTTCAATTTAGATTTTAGAGTAATGAGTCCCACATAGCTCTAGAGGTTGTACAATTGGAAACACGGTAATATCCATCAACTCCTAAAGAGGATACGATACATTCTTTACTTTCCAATCATATGACCATAATTTCTCATCATCCATGCTCCATTGTGCTTCTGACTTAGGTACAACACCATCTGCATTGGTCATGTTAATTTCAAATGGGCCATTTTTTACGGGGCTCCATACTTTCCTATCAATTGAATTTAGATGTATACACATACAATTTTTCCAATAACAATAGTTTCCGCAATTGAAAACGGGCCCTCTATTAAAGGCCTCTTTAGGTTCGAAATATATTATCTAATAAGCAGTTTCGAAGCACAAAATAAACATGTGCTCTAATACCACTTGTTAGACAATAGACTACGATCTTGAGGGGGTTGTATATATCGTAATTGAAATTTTCTTATTTAAAATCTATTTTGAAAACTATGTTTAACTATGGAAGCGGAAATAATTTTGGATCAACAATCGTCTATCTCGAGTCATTATCAGAAGAACCAGATATGCGTTAAACAGTAAAGACCGTACTTGATTGATGAGAAAATTAATCAATATTTTTTCAAAAATAAAGTTTTAATAAAACGACACAATGATAATCAATTTCTAATGAAATATTAAACCAAAAATTGACTTAAACAATTTGTCGAATACTCAGTGTGCAATTAATTTTATTCAGATTTTTCTTTAATTTTGTTGATATGAAAAACCAATTGCAATCTTATAGATTACAATCAACTCAACAAAAATAATTTGCAATATTATTAATCAAAGAGATTATCTCAATGTATTGATTGCACAAATAATGGTTTCACAATTTTGCAATGAAAGTGTGTGTGTGTATGTGAGAGAGTGAGAATGATTTTTTAAACAGTTCTCCAATCGGCCTCTCTATGAGTATGTTTGCTCTAAATTTTAATAGAATTGAGTTAATAAAAATTAACCTTTTCAAATGTAGTTTACAAAAGAAAAATTAGCAACTCAATCCTCCAACCTTATGTTTGATGTTGATCCTAACTTCTTCTCTTCCCTTAATCTTATACTCGATCAAGTAACACAATACTTCTAATTTGATCCTCAGACTACTGCTACTACTTTGACAGAACCCTCATTCTTCAAAACTTTCAATCGACTGAATCTAAATTGCAAACTATTGTGACCCAAGTTTATCAAAATGATCATCTGATTACCTTTACTCCTTTGACAGAAACGTCTTTCTTCAATGCTTTCTCTCTGCTGAATCTAAATTATGAAATCTTGTGAAAAAATCTCAAATCAACCTTGATCTTGGAAGAAAACCTCAAATGAATTTATCTTGAAACCCCCAAAGAATTTCAAACTCAATTGACTTATCAAACTATCTCAAGATCACACAACAAAATGATTATGTGTAGTTTTGGTATGTATGCAATGAGAGAGGATGAAGATGATGAAAATTTTTTTGAATATTTTTTATTTCAATCTGTTAGAAATGATGCATCAATGATTATATATATATATATATATATATATATATATATATATATATATATATATATATATATATATATATATATATATATGAGTGTAAATGAATGAAAGAGGATAATCATATTTGCAAAATTATAAAATTGGACATTTTAAACTGAAGGAGTCGACCCATTCGTAGAGGGAGTCAACTCATAGGAGCTGGGGAGTCAACCCATGTTGTCTGGGAGTTGACTCCAAGTGGACAGAGAATTTTGGCAAATGAATCTTTCAGTGGGAGTCGACCTACAGCTCGAGGGAGTCAACACATTTGTGTTGTGTGTCGACTCCAAATGCATGTGTATCGACCCATACACAGCATGAATTTTGATTTCATTTATCTTCAGTGGGAATCGACTCCTAATATGGATGTGTCGACTCCAAACATAGTTTTTCATGAAAAAACCTATTTTTGACTCTTTCAAATGTTTTTGACTTGTTCTATAAGTGTTCTGAGATAAAAAAAATTCATACACATAAAAAGATAAAGTCTAATATACAAATACTAAATACCTAATTTTGACATCATTCAAAACATATAAGAGAAAATATTGCACTCACAATATACCAAAAAAACTCAAGTAAATGGAAAGTTTTACAAATACTTTTCCATATTGGATATACATTTTGTGGAAGAGCCTTATATGGCTTAGGTGCAAAGATTAATTTAATGCCCTTATCTATACTTAATAAGCTTGGCATTGGAGCTACCACATTAACCCTCTAATTGGCTTACTAGAGTATTTGCTGTCATAAGGAAAAATTGAAAATGTGTTGGTGAGAGTTTGATGCTATCACAAGAAAAAATTGAAAATGTGTTGGTGAGAGTTTGAAAGTTTGTATTTCATGTAGATTTCATTTTCATGGATTTTAATGATGATAAAGACACCCTTATTGAGAAGACCTTTCTTTGGTATAGAAAGAACACTCATTAATTCATTAATGTTGAAAAAGGAGAACTCACCATGAGAATCAATGGTCAACATGTGATGCTTATGTGGTAAATATGTTGAAATACTCTAAAGACGACATGGTTTATTGCTCTCTAATTGATTGTTGTGACTCTTTAGTTCACAAACAATTAATCCAAGACAGTGATGAGTTAAAGAAAGAGTTGTAATCTTTGAATGGTGAAGAATTGAAGGAAGAATGAATTAAGAGTTGCATTTTACGAAAGTGACGTAATGCAAGTTGCTTAAACAAATTTGAAACATTAAAATTAACTGCATAAATGACTAAAGACAATGTGTCATATGTGGTAAAAACCTCCTCCTATTGTCGAGCGAGAGACTCCTCCTACCAGTTCTGAAGAGATACAAGAAAGTAATTGATGGAAAAATAACCTCGTATTTTATTAGAAGATAATGCTAAGAATAATATAGACGTCTAAAAAGGATAAACTTCATATACTCTATTTTTTACTGTGTAAGAGTGTGTCCAGTATAATGTGTTTCGAAGAAAGGTGACTCGACAATTCTTTCAAATGAAAAAAATGAACTTATCCCTACAACAACTATAATTCAATACAAAATGTGCATGAATTACGTGAAGTTAAACAAAACCATAAGGAAGTAGGGGTGGGAATAGATTGAATCAAATTAAACTTTATCAAATCTAAACATAATATGTGTAGGTGATAGACTGCTGTCAGTTGGTCTGACATATTCCCACTCTTATAAGAAATAATCACTTCTCTATTTTTCAAATAAAACAACAATTTACTAACTTCTATCTAACTTAATAAGAGAAATTCCAATAGTGACAATATATATTACACAATATTTTATCATGAGATAAAGTTGGAGCTAGTGTACATAAAGTCTTGATACTTATACAAGATATAAATTCATTATGAATTTATAACATAGTCTTATTCGTGTATCAAACTCACCTTGTTGATTGTTATTGAAAGGAGGACAACTTAACTATGTCCCCCCTGATATACCTGTGCTACCAGGAATATCCACCCACTCAATTTCAACAACCAATTCCCCACTCTCAACATTTCTCAATCTTAGAATCATTTGTTGAATGATCTTACCATTTTTCCAAATACAACTACTCTCTTCAGCAAGACAATTAGTCCTGTTTGCTTGAACCCTCTTGATTGCACATCCATCTGGAAGAGTGGCCAACTTCATTTGCATAGCTTGAGCATATGGTTTCAAGTCTACATCGGCATCACCCATTTTGTCATCTATGGAGAATGTATCTTTGTCAAAAACTGTCTGTAGAAAGAAAAACAAAATATTCATATTAGCTATAACTCTTCAAATATTTTCCTCCTTAAAATGGATCTCTCATTATTATGTGAAATTCATAAATAAATTTGTAAATGGGAGATAGTTTGCTTACGAGACGTATTGGAGTTTTAATATCCCTTATTGAAAGGGTTAGTTCTTCATTCCATTCAGGGTTGCAATTGTTTTTCACTACACGAGTCTTCAGCTTCTGCATCAACAACATTCACACCAATTGGATCTATCAAAAACATGTTTAAAGGAGAAAAGGAGAAGAAAAAGCAATTAAGGTTGGAACCTGGTCACCCATTTGGACAACAACATAAGGATCGCTGGTATTAGCATCACGAATTGCAAGATCAATTCCTCTTTTGATACGAAGTTTGAGAAGGCCAAGAATATTATTATCCATCACCCACGAATTGTCTTCCCACCCAAACCGATTATGAAACTTTAAGGAACTTGTTTGGGGTATTAATAGAAATCACAAGCGTGTGAAAACTGAAAACTAAAAAAACAATAAAAATGACCTTGCTAAAGGAATCTTAGTACATTAGGAAAAGTAGAAAAAAAACACATCGGTGATGCCGAGTTGCCGACCTCAGTTTTGTTTTGGCATGTAGCAATATTAGTAATCCAACCTGTTTTGTCTTATCCTAGCCTCTCCTATAGCTACATACTTGCTGGATCGCAAATGATGTTTCCATGTTTTATTTACTTTACAAAAACAATCATTTTTAGAACCTTGTTAATGTAAGTTTATCAAAATTACAGCGTGTAATCGTGTCAATGTGATGTGAATCACTCATATCAATTTTGATACCAAATATATATATATATATATATATATATATATATATATATATATATATATATATATATATATATATATATATATATATATATATATATATATGTGCATCAATTCATTCGATTGTTTTTTATAGGAATAGAGTTATGCTTTATGATTGAGATCTTATTTTAATATAAATAGGTGATAAAATCAAATTTTTTAAAATTATAATTTTTTAAAAGGTAAAATAATATTAATAGTAAAAAATAAGAATTTTCTAACAAAGTACAACATAACAAGCAATTGTCACAAAAAGTATTAAAAAAAAAAAACAAGAGATTGTAAACAACTAAAAACAAAACTATAAAATAATATTATTAATAAAAAATAAGAATTTTCTAACAAAGTACAACAAAACAAGCAATTGTCACAAAAAGCATTAAAAACTAAAATAAAAAAAGAGAGAAAGTAAACAACTAAAAACAAAACTATAAGTCTATAATGACAAAGACTAAGAATTTTCAAAAACAAAAAAAAAAACTTTGAAACAAGCATCACTATTTAAGGACTACACTACAAAGAAGAAATAGGTAAAATATCAAATCAATAAGATCACTACTGTCAGATCAAAAACCACTGAGTAAAGAAGAAAGGGTCATGATTGTTATAAATTAGATTAAAATCTCGATCCGCTATTAATTTATTTAAAGGATAAGATTATGAAGTTAATTTGTAATGTGCAATAATTTCTCACTAATTTTTTCAATAACTATTTCCAAGACAAAAAAATACTATTTTCCTCCATTTCTTTCATGTTTATCATAGTATCCAAAAACACAATTTCATTTTTGGCTCTTCAAATGATTCATACCACGGCATGTCAATAGAGGAGGAATGACTATGAGCATTAATATAATCCACAAGATAGTGATAAGTATATGACATTGGGAAATTTCCATCCCTAAAAACTGAGGGGTAAAGTATTTAGAGAAAACGTCTTCAAATTTCAGCAACTATAAAATATCATCTATTAATTTTAAAAAAATTATGACTTATTACCTCAGTTTTGCTGAAAATTGAGGGATAAAGTAGCGAGAAAACACGTTTTTGAATCCTAACAACTACATTTTATCACCTTATATATATTTTTTTTAATTTTCTTATGACCTATTGCCTCGATATTTCTAAAAACCGAGAGGTAAAGTAACATACTTAATTATTATTTTTTATGATCAATTAGATGAAAAAATTAAGTAATGAATCATTGTCATCCATTTATAAATAAAAATGGTAAGACATTGTCAACTCATCATCCACATGAAATATTAGTGATCCGCGTGAAACCGTCACTAGCCAATCAAAATGTGAATGCCACAACTATCCATCTTGGATGCAAAAGTGCTGAAATTTAAACTTAACATATTAAAAACAATGATGATGAAAGTAAGAGCGTGAAAATATTTCAAGATTGGTTTCTTAATGTAATATTTTCTCTAGTAATTCCTTGTTAAAAATGTTTAATGCTAGTTGTAGTTGTATCAAGTAAGATGTTTAATATTGTTGTTGTTGTTGAAATTTAGTAGTATTTAATTATTTTATTGATTTTGTTTATTTATTGTTGTTGCTGTTGTTGAGATTTAATATTTAATTACTCCATGAATTTTGTTGTTGTTGTTGTTGTTGTTATTGTTGTTGTTGTTGTTTTGTTGTTGAGATTTAATGTTCAAGGATTCTATTGATTTTGATTTTGTTGTTGTTATTGGTGTTGTTGTTGATGAGAGGAAGATTAGAATTTGTCAACAAAATTGACGCTTTGTAAATTAAAACGGAAAAAATCAGCTTAAAACTAAAACTTTGTAAACAAGACTTTATCCCGTAAAAATTAGCGCAATTTTGAAAAGAAAAAAAAACAGTTGCTTGGGATAGAACCCATGACTAGTGCCACTTTCCACCTCAGTTATTCAAACTGAAAGATTAAATGGTTGATTTTTATGTCGCCCTTCGTTACCTCGTCAGTGTAACCAAGATTATATCCCTTCTTGTCCAAAGTGAAATGAGGTTATTTGTAGTAGTGTCTTCCACACTCCCCCAGGATAATCAATAATCAAGAACAACCAAGGAAACCTATCCTTGAAGAGGATACTACAAGTCCAGTGATCACTTCAAAAAGATGTTTGGAACTCTTAATCAATTTTTTTATAAATATCATCCACAAACTAATCAGAAGCGTCTTCCTCCTTAGAACCGTGAAGGGAAACCTCCTATCATAAAGAAGAGGAGTTCCTGCCGTCCAAGACTCTACCATACCTTAAAGAAGAGACAATAAAATCAATATATCTTTCAAGAAGGATATCTATCTAAAGATGAGAAACACCTCAGATGAGTCTCACCTCCATTTAACTAAAAAAGCTAAATTAATCAAGCAGAGATCTCTAACCCCCAAGTCATTTTTGCTCTTGGGTTACAAATGTGATCCCAACTAACTCAAGAGATCTTAGAGTCTCCTTAACACACGACATATAAGTTTATATCTGAATTATCTTCCTCCAAACCTTTAGAGGCAGTTTCAAAAAAGAAAATACAAGAAGAAGATACAAAATAACACTAAGCATATAATTAAGAAAAACCATCCCCTTCAATATAACCTATCTATATATTCATGAGTTAAGAATTTTAGATAACATATTAACAAGGGGATCCCATGTAGCTTCATGGCTAGGAATAGCCCCAACAACCAAACCCATATATTTAAAAGGATGGGTCTCAAACTTGTAGTAGATAAAATCACTTGTGGAATTCTAGAAACCAAAATCCATATTGACCCCTATCAAACTACTCTTAGAAAAATTCACCCACAGTCTCGAAGCCTAACTCAAACCCTCTAAAGGTAAAGATTTTCAACTGATTGGTCCTGCTAAGATAAGAGTATTGTTTGAATATTGAAGAAGAGAAAACCACCAAATCGTATGCTTCAACCCTAAAGCCAGAGAGAAGACCCAACTCAATAACCATACTGATTAAACCACTTAACCTTCAACCATTAGTATAAATAGGAAAGAAGTTTGGAGATCCCCTTGCTTGAGATCACTCTGTGATAATCTATTGAGTTGGGAAATGATTAACCAAAACCACGAGATTCCTAGCAAAAACACAAGCTCTAATCCAAAATCTCAACTTATCATTAAACCCAAATATCACAAGCATATACTCAAAAACTCCCATCTCCCTGAATCATAAGCTTTCTCAACATTCACTTTAAAAATGAGGCAAAATTTTCTAATTTTCTCAAAATATCTCTTTTGTGCATACAGTAAAACTTATGCATCTTTTTGTCTCCTCTGTCACTAATGTTTTTATTTTTCTAAAAACATAAAACACATTGTTTCAAGCACACACTTTAGTTTTGAAAATAAATTAAATTTTTTCTTCATCTTTTATGTCTTCCTTCTAAAAAAAAAGTGTTTCAAACTATTTTTTCACAATATTATTGTTTTTCTTTTGAAATTTTGTCATTTCAATTCTTTATTTCATGTCATTTTAAATACATGATATCATTACCACTCATCCTTCCCTCTTTCTAAGCCGAAACATCTCTCTTCTCTCTCTCTCTCTCTCTCTCTCTCTCT